GCTGCCACCCCTTCCTTTCCTTTCCTTCCTTCTTTCCTTCCTTCCTTCCTTCCTTCCTTCCTTCCTTCCTTCCTTCCTTCCTTCCTTCCTTCCTTCCTTTCTTCTTTCCTTCCCTCCCCCCCTCCCTCCATCCCTTCCTCCCTTCCTGCTTTCCCTGAGGGAGCATCCACCTTCCACCCTGGTTGCTTCCTGAGCTCCTTCTGTCCTAGGAGCCTGGGACCCAGTGAGAAGAGGCAGTCTCATGAGTCTGTTTCTAAGGGTTGGGGCGGGGAGCAGGAAAAGAAACCATCACAGGCCAGGCTGCAGGTTGATGGCTGCCATGGCAGGAATGCAGGGAGGGGGCGGGGTGGGGGTTTGAGGACAGAGAAGGCAAACCCAGAAGCAAGTCGAAGCTGGGGGCTTGCAGCCCGGAAGCGCCATCTGGTTGGTGCAGCCCAGGAGCTCTGACTGTTCCAGCTGTAGGAGAATGGCTTCCAGACCGTTGTTCCTCAGGGAACCACCTCATAAACAAACACCTTCCCAATCCATTCATTCTGGACTGCGGGCCAGCAGACCCTGTCCCTCTGTCCACAGGAACGCACACCACCCAGGCGGTATTACCTATTAATGCCTACACTTGCCAAGCTTTGTTCTAGAGTCTAGAATCTAGACATTGGGGACAAAGTGATGCAAAGATGAAGTTCTTGTCTTCATGGAGCTTATATTCTATGGGGAGACGGGTAATGAATAGGTGATGAGATAAACATGGATGCACATCGAAGGTCTAATAGTGTCACCCAGTGAAGCTGGAAGGGGACCCTTGAGGAGATGGGGAGAGGACAGACGCCAGGCAGAGGGAACAGGAGGTGTGCAGGCTCCCGTGGGGGTGCATCCAGAATGGGGGGGAGCCAGGAGACGTGTGGGCAGGATGGACAGAAGGGTGGGGTGGGCGCAGGGCCAGGTCATGAGAGGCCCCCCAGGGACTGCGTGGTGTTCTGGGTGACAGGAGTGCTTGGCAGGTGGAGCTCAGGGATATCAGGGTCTGCCTGGCTTCCTGGCAGGATCACACAGCTGCCGAGTGAAGGACAGATGGTTGGGGGAACAAGTGGGGTAAATGACACTTGTAGGCCAGGGGGACGGCTGGTTACACCTTGCGGGCGGCAGTGGACGAGGTGGGCAGGATTGGGTGGGGGCTCAGCCTGGTGGTCTCAGCCATGGAGGCAGAGGGGATGGGCCCAAGCTGAGCCTGTCAGGATGCAGGCTTGAGTGGCTGGAGGCTGTCAGTGCCGGGCCTCCGGGCGGGCTGTGATGTGCAGGGCGAGGCCCGGCAGCTGATTGACCAGAACTACCGTTTCCCCGAAAATAAGAGTGTCTTATATTAATTTTTGCTCCCAAAGATGCGCTAGATCTTATTTTCAAGGGATGTCTTATTTTTCCATGAAGAAGAATACGGGACACATTTATTGTTAAATGAAAATAAAGGAAATTTATTACCTGTATACGGTACGGTAGTATGGTAGTTGTCAACACAAACCAGACAAACTGTGAATCCTAAATTCACCTATCAAGAATTTACTCATTTATTCAATGACAATCATGTCATCATCTTTTGGAACATCATCATAACAGTCCAATTCCTGAATTTCCTGTGACTCCATTTCTTTCAGAATCAGTGGACCAAATCTCTCATGTTTAGCAATAGCATTTTGAGACAGAGCCTAGGGGGGGCCTTATTTTCGGGGGGATGCCTTATATTTCACTCAGAAGGAAACCTGTAAGTAGGTCTTATTTTCGGAGGATGTCTTATTTTCGGGAAAACACGGTAGGAAGTGCGGTCCAGCGCTCTTTGACCCAGAACATCTCTTTACATGTTATATTTGGTTAGAAAATGCTGGCAACTGCAATCTGCCCAGCATGAGGGCCATTATACTTGAATTCCACCTGAGCAGCAGATAGACAGCTCCTCTTAGCTCCCTTCAGGCAGAGGAGTAAACACTCTCATTTGGGAAGTGGACAGCTGGCAGGGAGACCGCAGGCAGCATGCGAGCGCCCAAGCTGATTGCTGGGCCGTTGGTTGGTTGTCTGTTTGCCTTTTTTCTGGTTGCCTGGCTGGCTGACACCACTGAGCCTAGGGCAGGGTGACGGGTGGTCACACCCCATCGGGTTCATCACTCGTCAGATGAGGTGCTCTCCAGGCGGTGAGCACGACTGGGGGGTCGAGTGGGCATTGCCAAGCCCTTCCGTCGAGTCCTGCTCAGCTCCACAGCCCACCACTTGGAGCGTGTCGGGAAGGGGAGGGCAGGAGGTGGACACAGACCCTCACTCCAGCTGAACTCAGGAGTGTCCTGACACCAGAGTCGGCAAGCAGAACAAGCTTTGCTCTGCACCTGGCACAGCCACTGGGCACCCAGTGCCGAGTCCCAGCTGCTTCCGTAGCAAAGGGGCAGGAGAGTGCTGGGCAGGATGGACGGTGGAGAACGTGCTTCAGAGGGACCCCAGCCTCCACGGACCCGGAGCAAAGCGGTTGCCAGGGTTTCCTCCCCAGCGCGGGGCGGGCCACCCCGGGCAGCACAGAGCCAGCACTATTTGGGAGATGGGCCCAGTGACCAGGCAGAAGCACGTCCAGCACAGACAGCCCTGTGGGACGTGTGGTTGAATCCTTACCTGACCCAGCGCTTTCACTGAACGTAAAGGGAGCTGATAGAATATTCCCCGCGTCAGAGGAATTCAAGGTTAAAATCATGTTTTTAAAAAGCTGAAGGAACAGCTGTGTCCCTCTTCCTGCTCCTTAGCTGGCTTATTTAGAATAAGCAAACCCTAAGCAGAGTCCTGCTCCACAGCTCCAGCCCCTGTCCCTGAGGTGTGGCCCCCACGGAGCCGGCCTCCAGGCCTGTCTGCACTCACAGCCCGGAGCCTGGAGGACCGAGCAAGCTGGGGAGGGAGAGGAGGTGCAGGCAGTATCCCAGGCTGCATCCACCACCACTCCATGGAGGGCTGGGAGGGATCACACGGAGGGGCTGGTTACACAGGCCCTCGAGGGGCCGGCAGTCCTAGGAAACTCCAAGGTGAGCAAACTTGGATTTCATATTTCTAACCTTGAGACTAGGAGAGGCGGTCAAAGGAGAGCCTCTGGGCAGGTGTGGAAACAGGTCTCAGGACTCCTGGGGTCCGGGTGATCATGCGACTGTCCTCGCTGGGGCTGTTGGGGTCCCAGGACTGTGACTTGCACAGTCCATTCACAGAGGGCGGGGGCGGGGAGGCGTGGGAAGCAGCGAGAAGGCAGTGGAGGCCTCGCCTGGCAGTGTCCCCGAGAGAAATCCGGGTCTGAGGGCCAGGAGGCGGGTCCTCCGATGTTGGGGGACAGCAGCTCCAGGAAGTCCCCGAGCAGAAGGACAAGTAGAGTCCCAAGGAGGGTGTAAGTGATGGATTGGAAGGAAGAAGGGAGACATATGAGCTTGAGAAGGAGGGGTGGGCAGGGCGGGGCGGGCGGCGGGTCATGGCCTCTTGCTGCTTCTTTTGGGTGCACAGGGGCTCCTTCCCTCCCTGCAGTGGAACCACCAGAGCCCCCTCTGCTCCGCTCGCTCAGGAAAAGGAGTCAGATGCTATCCATTCTACCGGGGGGCGTCCACACTCCGCACGGTGACAAATGAAACCAGCACAGAGCCTGTTCTCATCCTCATTTACTGCAGCAGAAAGGAGGACGGCCGCGTTTACACACTCCAGGGCTGTGACAGGTCCCAGGCATTCTCCCAGCCACCCCGGCCATGTCCCCTCAGAGGTCACCTGGCTCCAGCAGGAGGGAGCACTTCAGATGCACAGACACAGGGTCAAACGGACGTGTGATCGCTTTAGCAATCTCTGAGAACAGGCATTTGCAGTGGCCGTTTCCATCCACTGAGCCTACTGCAGGGGCTCAGCTGTTGTGCGTCGGCCTGTGTATGAACCAGGTCGAGGTTCGATTCCTGGTCAGGGCACAGGCCTGGGTTGTGGTTCCGATCCCCAATGGGGGGGCGTGTAGGAGGCAACCAGTCAATGGTTCTCTCTCTTTCTCTCTCCCTTCCTCTCAGAAATCAATAAAAATATATTTTAAAAAATAAGTAAATGTGGTTTAACTCTCCACATGAATCCTTGCCCTGGAGACTGAGCAATTAAAACACCGTTAAGCTTCAAGACCTTCAGGGAAATGGAACTGGACAGTGGACAGTGAGCCCACAGGTGGTGAGGTCACACCTGGCCACAGGGAAACCCTCACGGAGCCCCGAACTGGAAGCAGCCCCCAGGAGTCACACTCCCCAAGCCCATGAATGCGGGGTAATTTCTGAATTCAGGAGGAGGACGGGAATGTGTTTCTTGCTGAGGGAACCAGGACGAGCCCGTGGCTGGGGGCCCGCTCACTTCTTCTGATTCCTTCCCTACGGGCTGAGCGGGCCCTCAGCCAAGAGGGGAGGGTGTTGTGCACACAGGCTGAGGGACAGCCGTGGAGCAGGCTGGGGGGTTGGGGTGTTAAGTCTAGCGCTCCCCGACCCTCCTGGAAAGATGCCTTGGGTTCCCGGGGTTTGGAAATGCTGATGTGGGGGGACAGGACCCCGAGGCAACCGTTTGGGACTGTCCCTCCACATCAGTGTCACTGGGAGGACTATGTGGCTGAGTGGAGGGCAGAGAAGGCTGGGGGGGGGGGTTTGAGATGGGGGAAGGTGGTGGTGGAAGAGGTGCACTTATTCATGGAGGTGAGGAAGAACAGCAGCGGGGAGAGGGGCGGGAAGAGATATGTAAAGGCCCTCGAAGGGAAATACAGGCTTTCTTTCTATTTACCCACTGAGCCAGCCCAGATCTTATTTGGGGGGATTTTGTGTGTCATCACTGAAAATGTTGTTGCATGATCATGAAGCACCAAATCGCTTTGCAACCTTGTACTAAACTTGGGGATTTCTTTTCTCCTCTCGAATCCCCACCGTTCTCGCCTCCTGGCAGAGGCCAAGGTGTGCGCTCCCGGTAAGTGTTTTCCCGCGGCCGGAGCGACTTCAGCTCCGGGGCTGCCCGCCGTCCCTGTCAGCCGGCCGCTTGCAGGTGAGCATGAGCAGCAGCAGCAGGGGCAGGTGCCACAGGCTGCAGAAGAACAGCTTCCTGGAGCTCTTCCTGTCCGCATCCACGTAGAAGCGGAAGCCGAGGTAGGAAATGTACAGGTTGATGGGCAGCGCGATGGCGGGGAAGGTCCACGTGGTGACGCCCAGGGCGGGGGCGGCGGCGGACAGCGCGAGCAGCGCCAGGCAGTGGCGCAGGGCCACCCGCCGGCACAGTGCGGGGTGCGTGACGGACATCATGCAGTAGCCCCCGCGGGAGTAGTCCTCCCGGAGGCCCCAGCTCAGCGCGTTGAAGTGCGGGAACTGCCAGGAGTAGAGGATTCCTCCCAGAAGAAAGGCTCCTGCGGAGACAGGGAGCAGAGCGCGTGGGGCTTTACCAAGGCACCTTCCCTCCTGCGGCACCCGTTCCCTCCGAAGGCACCCCTTCCCACCCGACGGCACCCTTCCCTCCGAAGGCACCCCTTCCCACCCGCAGGCACCCTTCCCTCCCGAAGGCACCCCTTCCCACCCGACGGCACCCGTTCCCTCCGAAGGCACCCCTTCCCACCTGATGGCACCCTTCCCTCCGAAGGTACCCCTTCCCACCTGATGGCACCCTTCCCTCCCAAAGGCACCCCTTCCCACCTGACGGCACCCCTTCCCACCCGACGGCACCCTTCCCTCCCGAAGGCACCCCTTCCCACCCGACAGCACCCTTCCCTCCCGAAGGCACCCCTTCCCACCCGACGGCACCCGTTCCCTCCGAAGGCACCCCTTCCCACCTGATGGCACCCTTCCCTCCGAAGGTACCCCTTCCCACCTGATGGCACCCTTCCCTCCCAAAGGCACCCCTTCCCACCTGATGGCACCCGTTCCCTCCGAAGACACCCCTTCCCACCCGACGGCACCCTTCCCTCCCGACGGCACCCTTCCCTCCCGACGGCACCCTTCCCACCCGCAGGCCGCCAGCCCCAAAGGGCTCTGCCCGATTCTCACCTCCATGTGCCCAAGCTTGCCAGCCTGCTCTCCGTGTCCTCCCCGCCCCAGCTCTCACCTGGGTGGGCAGGGCACTGGCGGGGGGGGGGGGAGGGGGGGAGGGAAGGGGGTCCTGATGCAGGGCTTGGAGTGACACACTTTGAAGCTCCTTGGCCTTCCCCCCACCCCCAAGAGAAGTCCCTGCAGCACAGGGAATGCCTTGTGAGGGTCTGCCCCTGGCGCTCTGTGCTGGGCTCCCGCTGTGCCCACACGACAGCCAAAGAGCATCTTTAGAAGAAGGGATGTGCACTGCTTTGCAGACATAATGCCAGCAGGCGCTCAACAGACTAACGCATTTCTGTGGACAGTGAGTGCCTCTGGGGAATCAGGAGGCACAGAGGGCAGGTTAGACCACCCAGATACAACTGAGTCGCACCTAGGGGGAGAGAAGGAGACTGCTCCTTGCAGTTTGATGGGAAAACAGATATCTCTGGGCTTTAAAGGGGCCAGTGAAGAGAAAGTGCTCAGAGGCTCTCAGGGCTGGGCCACTTGGAGGCTTCTGAGCACGAAGTCCGAGGACTGGCCATCCCAGCACCTGTGCAGCCTCTGGCCTCCGGGAGGGCTAGCCAGGATGGCGTGCAGCTACGCAGCCATGCACAGGGGACAGAGCAGCGTCAGCCATGATGTAGAAGCCGGAGAAAATGGAAGTCAGAGCCCAGTATCTGTCTATCGAAGTGGCTGAGAAGGAAACAGACCTGAAAGGGTTAAAATCAGACCCAGATGGATTTCTCCCTCCTTCTCGGAAGCCCCCTTCTCAGTGTGCCAACGGCAGGATTCTGCTTCACTCAATGCACACTTTTCAGTTATGCTTCTCCTTAAAATAACAACTTAAAAAATCATTTTCCTAAGAGTAGCTCGCTGCTTTCTATGAGAGAGGAAATTGTATGGGTTTGGCCCATGTCACAAATGAAAGCGCTTTGGAAACACAGTGCAGCCTTAATGGACTAATCAGAAAACCACTGCCCCCACAGTTCTACTCAGCCACAAATGCGCTGCGCATCCACAGACGGAAACAAATTCCTCCCTCATCAAGATACGGACACGACCGGAAGACCTGGGTTAATCGGGGCTGTGGGACCCGCCTTCCTTGTGCGGTGAACACAAAGCACTGTTACTAATTCAAAGGCCTGCCCTCAGCCTCACGCCCAGAGTGGCCTATTTTTATTGGGCCGATCTGCGGTAGCAATGAATATTCCTGTGTGCCCACGGCGTAATGGGTGCAGGCTGGCCCTGAGGCCTCAGCTGACCCGGGAGATGGCATCAGGATTACAGCCCGAGGCGGTGCTTACAGAGGGCACCCGGGAGGAAGACCAAGTCAGCCTGGGAGAGGTCAGGGAAGGCTTCCTAGAAGAAGCCATTTGTAAAGTGGACCTGAGGATGGTCTTGGAGGTTCACACAAACTGTGTGTCCTCTGTGACTATTAAATGTATGTTCTCATTTTCCTATCTAATTGCAGCATATACTTGCTTTAACCGTATCTGGAAGAAATGTCTGCTTCCTTCATTTTAATCCGGTATTTGCTGATCTGTGAATATATGAAACTAGAGGCCTAGTGTATGACAATTCATGCACTGGTGGGAAGGGGGGGGGTGTTCCCCTCAGCCTGGCCTGCCCCCTCTCACAGTCTGAGAGCTGTCAGGGGTGGAAGGCGACCCGGCGACCAGGGGAAGGTAACGTGCCATCACACCTCTGCTGCTGCCACTGCCGGCAGCGTAAGCCTCAGCCTGCCCTGGTTACCTGAGCCTCGGTCCGCCCTGGGTGGCTGAGCAGCTGCCATCCAAGGCTTGCCTGCACCTTGGGCTGACCCTAGGAGGCTGGAGGGCTGAAGGGACTGGGGACTTGGGAGACAAGAGTGTGGAGTGGCAAGGCCTGCTTGGGGGCAGGCCTGGCCTTGCCACGTGCCTGTGGCCCTGGCGGGGCTGAGGGGACAGGGTGCAGCCATCTTATGGCTGTGAGTGCCACCATCTTTGAGGGCAGGGCAGTCAATTAGCATATCCCCTTTTTATTGGCTGTGGGTGCCATCTTTGTGACAAGTGTGAGGGTCAATTAGCATATTCCCTCTTTATTAGATAGGATACTGAGAATCTGAAACGGTGGCACGTCTGTGGGTAAGTTCTTCGGAGAACAGCAGTTTCCTGAGACCACGGTGCCAGAGGCCCAGCCACAGGCCACGCCAGAGACGACATGGGAGTCGGCATGCTCACTGCCCACCACATGGAGGACTCAGGAGCAGGCCTGCTGGTCTATGTGTCAGCAGCTGGGGGCCCTGCTCTGACCCGGGGACAAGGCTCAGCAGCATCTTCCGGGAGACTGAAAATACACCACAGCCTTCTGATCGCAGAACCCCTGTCAGTCACTCTGCGGGGAGGACCTCCGTGGCCATCTCTGCTCCAACCCGGAGTGCTGCCGGCCAGCGTGCTGCTGTCGTTCTGCTGGCAGACAGGCCCGGCACCGGCAACCCAGCTGACCCCTTTCCAACTGAGCTCCTCCAACTCCCTTCCTCCCAGAACGTACTTCCCAGAGCATCCCTCTGGGCAGGCCCGCGGCTGCGGCTCCTCTCTCTGCTGCATGGGGCTTACACTCACCTTCCTACCCAGACACCCAGTCACTCGCTGTCCACGCGTGGCCTTGAAGAGGATAAAGAAGGGTTCCCACCATCGGCTCCCTCTCCCCATGGCCCTCACAGCCCCTGGTCCATGCCTGGCTACCTCTGTGCGGGGTGTAAATGGGGGAGGGGCGGCTGGGAAGCAGGGTCTCAGCCAGGGTTTGGTGCTCAGGGATCCCAAAGCCTTTCCTTTGAGGTGAGCACAAAGCGGCAGAAACAGAGGCATCAGCTGCAATAGGTTGGGGGGGGGGGGGGGAGGAAAGGGGAGGTAGCCGGTGCGGGAGATAAAGGGGAGAGGACGTGGGCCAGTTTAGGGCAAGGCCTCAAGTCCTCGGTCAGCTCCTGGGGAGTGGCTGGAGTGCTGCCCAGGCCCAAGAGGGCGCCTCACCTCACTGCACCGCTATGTCCAGAGGACACCTGGGTTTCCTTCAAGGGAAAGAGGAAACTAAGGAAGTCAGCAAGCTCTGATTCCAACAAAGTGCTCCTTGCCTTTCCCCTCTTACCCCTGGAGGGCAGTTTCAAGCACCTGCGAGTCCAACACACTCAGGCAGTCCCGAGGGACCCCCACTGGCCTGTTGCTGATCGGTGCCTGGCTAGGGCTCGGCCACCAGGGACCCGCTGCCACTTCCTTGGGGGAGGCGCTGACCCTGCACCCTAAAAGCTCCGTCAACTGACAAGATGAGCACACTGAGACCAGAGCTGGCCCCTCACCCCACCAGCCTCGGCTTCAGCTCCACGTTTCCAACCACTGCCCAGCCTCTGCTTTCACCCGGAGGAGAACGGCCTGAACACTGTTTGCTGTGCTAACACTCCCATGAAAACATCCCTTGTTCCTCTGTCTTTAAAATATCATTTGTCTTAATTAACCTGAGCTCTAAGGCTAGTTATGAACAAAATCTCACACAAAACGAACACACTCATTTTTGAGTTTGATTTTAACGGGCAGTATTTTTTTAAAAAATCTTTAACAGTGCTTCTTGGGTTCAACAGAGTCTGGGAAGCCCTCAAATATTTGCTGGGTGAATAAATTCTCTCCATTCTTTTTTCTTATCCTGGAGTGAAGGAGGTAAATAAAGTAGAACAGGACTGAACATTGTGTAGTTTACCAGCTGTAAACTCATCCTCTTTTTGTTCTAAAACCATCCATCTGCGAAATGCCACTTCCTGATAAGCACCCACGTCTAAGTCCTCATTTGTACCTGGACGGTGTCTGACATAATGCTCACCACACAACAGCATCTGAACGACAAACCAAAGGTAATTTATGAATCAGCTCCAGAGACTGTCACAGGCCCATGCCATAAACACCCAGACTGGGGTTTACTCAAATTCAGTAAAACTATAAAATAGAATCTAAGCCTTTTTAAGAAATGGGGGTAATGAAAGGAGAGGTGGGCTTGGCAAGGAGGAGGGAAGAGACTCTAATATGAAACCTCGGACACCTAGATAGCCTCTGAGATAAGCACTGGGGAGGCTACTGCAGGTGGCCAGGCCCTCGGGGAGCTGGGTTGCCCGCTGCCCACACTTGTCTGCAGAGCCCTCCACCCCACAGGCCCTTTGCTAGGGCCCGGGCAGGCCACTCCCTTCTCTGCTGTCCACTGAGAGCAGAATCAAACCCAGTACCTCCACGCTAAGGCACAGGGAGGTGCCTGTGAACACCCACTTCCTTATTCCCCAAGCCCCTGGCTGCACCATTTTCTACAGGGAAGGATCTCCCTTTATCTCTGCCAACTGGATAGTGAGCTCTGCCAGGCCGTCCACAGGTGGGCTGTGCTGCTTCCTCCCCATCCTGCCCTCCATCTGATGGCTGCCCCCAGGGGAGGGCTCTGCACAGGCACACAGGACCCAGAGGCAAAAGCGACCGTGCTGGGCCGCCGATGCCCTGGCTGTGTAGCCAGGGGAGACGGGAAAGGAACGGGATGTGCTCAGGGACTCGCTGCCCTTCATTTATCCTTCCTCCCACCTGTGCATCACTGGTGCTCACCAGCTGCTCTTTCAGTGCCAGACCGAGGCCTCCCGAGTGGGGCAGCCTCGAAAACAGGGAGCTCTCCTGGAGAGGGGAGGAGCCGATGGGGCAGGAGAGGGTGCCAACCCCACAGAGAACCAGCTCTGCACACGGTAAAGGTGAACTAGCCCTCCAGTGGAAGCCCGCTGCTTCCTGGGAAAGCCTCCAGTGGGTCGCTACCTCCTTCCGATAACATATCAACTCCTCAGGTCATGTCCGTGCTTGCTCTTGTTCCCGTGGCTACATGCTCTGTGTACATGCTCTTCCCTCTCCTTGGAAAGCACGTCCACTTCGCAGGTGAGCTCATCATGACTTAGCCCGGAACCCGCTGTGCTCCACGGCCGCCTCAGACTGGCTCACACCCCTCTGCGGACCCCTTTCCAGCTACGCCTTCGTTCGGTTGTACCTGCCTGCCTCGCCCTAAAGAGGGAGTGAGGCCTGGTTTCTGGGAGGACTGGATTGTAGTAATATCTGTGTCACTCAGTGCCCAGCACACAGTAGGGCCTCAACTGACCCCTGCACAATGAAGCTGCATATGAAGGTGGAGGTCCCAGCAATTCCTAGTCCAGGCTGGTCCACTGAGAGGTGATCGCCCAGCCTCCTCACTCTCCTCTCCCTCACCACCAATATAGCTCAACGCAACATTCCTCACGGGCTTCGGGCTTCTCCTAAGTGATCCGTCTTGGGAGGTTCAAAGACAACATGGCTTGGAGATACCACTGAAGAAGGGATTTTCAAGCAAACAAGTCCCCTAAGATAAGAACTCAGATGAGAGATGTAACTTCTGTGGCTAATACAAATGAGACAATTGGTGCATTTCAAGGAATGTCTCTGCTCATGCCCTCTGCCCAAGCCGTGGGTATTTCCAGGAATTCTAGCAGCTGGAGCCCTCTGGGTCCTGTCTCAGTGTGGTGTCTGCACGGGGCACCAGCAGCAGCAGCACCACCACCACCTGGGACTTGTTAGAAATGCACACTCCCAGGCCCCCGCCCCAAATGGGAAGTCCTGAGCCCGGGATCCATCTCAGTAAACTCTCCAGGGGTTCCCGGGGCACTGAGGTCCGAGAACCGCTATGTTCGACTTTGGTGAAACCACAGGTATGGACCCTACAGTGCAAACTCGCCTGAGGAAATGGGGCGCAGGCTCACAGGACATCCGTCTGTCCCTCTGGGTGTAACTGTCGTGATAGCATGCGCCAGGACCGTGCAGTCACACGGCAACTGTCAGCTACACGTGGCTGTGGGCGTTTGGAACAGGGACCGAGGGACCAAATGACTTCTTATGTTTAAATTGAAAAGTAAAGAGCACATGTGGCTAGTGGCTGCCACATGTATGAGCCAGTGCAGTCCTAGGAGATGGCAAAACGACCTAAAAATCACATTCAACCTCATTCCTAAAACCTAGCAACAAGCATCTTTAAACTTGATCCCTTAGATGCCTACTTCTTCGTATCGCTTCCTCCTATGTGGTGCCTTTAATAGCTGAAACTCAGCAAATATGCCATCTGTTACATAGAAGGCATTTACGCACCGATTCATTCATTCAAAGATCTGCTGCTCATCTCTAGTTTGCTCTATCAATATAGTGCTTGAGCACTTTTTGAAGCTGTTTGAAGCATGATGTAAAGTAGCATTATTCTTTCTGTGCCAAGATGATGGGCTTTGGGTGCTCGGTGTGACGGTGCATTAGAACGGGGGCAGTAAACCCGGCCGCGCTGTGGGACCCGCACGCATCATTAAGAATGATAGGAAAGGGTGACAGCTGCCAACCTCACACGCTGCGAGGAAGTGCCCGGTGGTAGCAGAGCCCTCTCATGCACGCCGGGTCACTTCAGGTAGAGGAAGGATCTCCTTTACAAGATAAATACACATTTTCATTTTGCTTCTTGAAACAAGGCATAACCTGGCTTTTAGCTGTCCCTCATTAATGAGTTTGTATGTAAATGCTTAAATCTGGATCACGGAAAAATCATACCCCACATTGCCTTTAAAATATGTCTACAGTAGCTTAGCCAAGTCCAGACCGTCCCTGAACAGTGGGGGCTCCTGCGGGGGGGGGGAGTGGGGGGCTTTTTTTGCAAATATGCTGAGGCTCCCATTCTAACAGGAAGCTCCCTGGGAGGGTGATTAGGGCACAGAGCCCTTAGCAAGAGCCTGGGTCCAAGACCCCACACAACTGAGTGACCCGTTCTCCTGACCTGGATTCGACCCTCCCCACCCCCCCGCCCCCAGTCTCCAATGATAGCTGTCCTGCAGCTGTCAGATCTGACTCTGGTCCTGTCTGGCCTGGGATTCCCAGGATGGAAAAGGCAGCCGTGGTGCCTTGCTCCTTCGTATAGGTGAGAGGACACGGAGGAGGGCCTGGCATTCCTGGCTGGTCAGGCGGGTGGCTTGGCGAAGAGCATGTAGGTGGCAAGCAGCACTGCCTGGTGTAGAAGGGATGGCACCGGAGGCTGAGAGCCCGAGAGTGCTCACGTTCTTTCCCCGCCTCCCCCACTTGGCCTGGCGGGGCATCCACTTGAAAGGCATGGAGGGCACAGGAGGGGAGAGCTGGGCTAGCGGGGAGGGAGTCTGGACCAAGTCAAGGTTGAGACTCCAGGAGGAATCTGAGCAAGAGTGTGGGGTGTGCAGGTTACTCCTTACATTTTAATTGCAACTCGGATATCATCTAGTCCAGGATGCCGAACCTATGTGGTCCACCCTTGCCTGCCTCATCCAGTGCAGACAGCACGACGCACCCCTGAACTCTTTTCCACTAAGCCAGGAGCCCCCCACAGTCTAAATCAACAGCCAGGTGCATACCGATAAGATCTCATGACCTTTCTTGATCCATATTAATCTGCCCACTGTATGAATGAGGAACACAAACATACCGGTAATTCATTTAGTCCTCTATGCGACGAGAAGGGACCATTATTAGCCCCCTTGGGGGGGGGGGCATAAGGGGACACAGCATAAAAGGGTCAAGTATCGATACGTTCTGAAGGGCCTGGCCGTTAGGTGGAGCTGGGCTCACCCTGCGCCCCCCTCCAGGCACATGTTCTGTGGGGACGAGATGGCCGGAAGCTCAGCACAGACCAGACAGGCGTGTGCCTTCTGGAACGCTGCATCTGTAGGTTCACGGAAGGCCGGCTTCCACAGGATATTAAAACCATCCTCAGAGACAATCAAGGTAAAGGTGCCATCATCTCTGTTAGCTCGCCAAATCGGAGCCTCAGAGCTTTTATGAAAAGTTTCAGAAATGTGGCTTACAGGGTAACGGTTTATGGTCAATTGCCTTTTGATCTCTCATGTGAAAAATATGTACTTACATATATTGCAGGAAACCTCACCACTTCCTAAGTGTTGGGCAAAAACACTAATTACTTGACTAATTAGACTGTGAAACTTCCCTTACAGATGGTAAAAGTGGGCCATTCACTCCACAAATGCAGTTGTGACATACCGCCAGAAAAATGTAGCAATGTCTCAATGGTTTTATTGTAGACAGCATGAACAATTTAGGCAAACCATATAAAAATAAATGAGAAACTAATGAAAATAGTCTGTTCTTTCAGAGGGGAAACACCGGGTCTGTGGGAGGAAGGAGCTAGTGCCGCCGGCCTGCCAGCGAGGGGCGGCGGTCCCGGGGAGCGGAGCCTGCCAGCACCTCCCGGAGGGAACACCCCACCGTGAGCCCCGGGCCAACCGACTCGTACTCGGAGGGCACTTTCTTCCCCTGCACTTGCTGCCGAGGCTGAGGCAGCTCCCTTTCCTCCCCGCTTCCCGTGAGGGAGAAGCCAGGACAATCTCCGTGAGCTGCGCACACGCTATTTCAGCCTGCCCCGGCCCACTGCCCAGAGCCCACTGACATGCACTCCCACCACCAAGTCCTGCTGTCGGGGGAGGAAGCACCTCTGATCGGTGCGTGCTAACGCTGCAGGGAGAGCCTGGGTGCCTGCACCCACGCCCGCCACCTGTCCGCTGGGCGCGGGGGACACTCACCAGCATCCAGGCTGCCCGTTGCTGCTGTCCAGCCCATGACGGGGGGGATGGCGCCCACCACGGCTCCGACCCACGTGTTGGCGATGCTGACCCTCTTCAGCGGGGTGTAGCAGCAGGTGTACAGGAAGATGTTGAAGAGCCCCAGGGCTCCGGTGAGGGGGTTCACCCCCCAGGTCAGAAGGGCGACTCCAGGGACGGCACAGCAGGTGGCGAAGGCCACGGCGAGCAGCGGGCTGGAGAGTGGAGCACAGTGGTCACTGTCAGCGTGAACCCGGCAAGGGATGGGAGCTGCCGGGCAACACCCCCTGCCCCCCCATCTGAGGAAGCCAGCTGGCTCCTTCCCGTCCGGGCATCTTCTTCCCAGAACTGGAAAAAGTACGGAAAATGCCGCGGGAAGCTGCTATGGCAATGACGGCCGCAAACATCATTCTCAACAGTCTACCTTTTCGAGTAAACTTTGTGCCGAATCTCGTGGAAGACTGAAGTGAACATACACTGGATGTACTAGTTTCTGATAATAGGCATGCTCATTTTCTCCTTAAGAAACCTGAGGTCACTCCACCGGGCCTCTCCCTACAGAGGTCAGGCCGGGGCCTCTGCGGACACCTCCCCACAGCCACCTGTGACCCCACCGGCAGGCTCCACACTCGCCCACTGGGAGGCGGGAGTCACGACTGTGCAGCTTCCTGGGGGCTCAGGTCTAGCTACGGCCAGTTCTCCAGGAAGACAGCCTTTCCCCCTCCCCCCTCCATCCCCGGAAGGCAGCACCCTCCGTCCCCGTCCCCAGGGCTGCAGGGTCCCAGGCTGCCCCTCCAGAAAAAAGCCTGCCTTGTAGAAAAGACAAGTCAGGCTGGGAAGGGCTGAGAGATGCCTGGTGGGTCAGGGAAACAGGACAGAGAGCCGGGAGGGACCGGGAGAAGCCCCGCTCCCCCTGTATGCTGAGTGCTAGGCCTGAGACAGTGCCCAGGAGGTGGAGTCGGAGGGAGCAGAACCCAGAGGGATGCGCTGCTGTATGAGGCTTCAGGTGGAAGGCCCGGGGCTACACTGAGACTGCTCCCTGCACGCGCAGTCCCAGGGAGAGCTTCCTCCGTCCTGGCCGCGGCTCCTAAGTCCCATCAGCTACGTCTCCAGCCCTCACTCGGCAGCCTGTCTTTATTCTGTCTCCCCCCACCATTTCCACCCCGGACCTCCACTCTGAATCTGCCTGCTGGCCTGCTGTCTCCACTCCTGCTACAGAAAGCCCTATAACCGACCACTTCCTCTCCCCTTTCGCAAGCCTCCAGATTTACCCTCCTCTTCACTGCCCGGCGCTTCTCCCATTTTGGGGGGAAGGGAACACCTTCTCCATTGTTAAAGACAAACTCTACTTCTGCTCTGATTTAACTTCCTCCGGAACCTGTCTTTAGCTCCTATCTCCACTGTCCACTGACCTTTTGCATCCTCTGAACAGTTACTTTGTTCATATTTCCCCCGAAGTTCTTACTGTCCTTCTTCAAACCCATACGTGCTGATGAAGCAGACTGCCCAGGGCTCATCCTCCAGCCTGGCTTCCTACCGCACCCCCCTCCCCCTGTCCTCTCCCACCCTCTGCACAGGGCTCATCTATCCCCCCCCCCTCCTCCCACACACACCCCCTCTGCCCAGGGCTCATGCCCCCACCCCTCCTCTCCCACCCTCTGCCCAGAGCTTGTGCCTCCAGCCTGGCTTCCTACCTGCCCTCCCCCAACCCCGAAACGACCTCTCATTCGGTTCCCAGCTATGGCGTGCGGTGTAGCTTCTCAGAGTCAAGTTTAGGACAGTGCCTGTGTTGTTCCATCTCAAGTATGCCCAGAACTGAGATGGCTAAAGAGCAGTGCAAATATTATAACTTGTTCTTCTTTCATAATGTGCTTTACAGCTTATAAGAACAGATTTCCCCCTTCCTATAGGATTCTACAAAGCAGGTTTTATTTTGGGTGGGAGAAAACTGTGGCTCATAAACACTTTTATTTTTCCTCAGTTGGACCTTGTGTATGAAGGAAAGAAAAAAAGAGAAGGTTGTTCATTCCTTCTCCCAGGTCTGTGGGAGCCAGCTGTATTCAAATTGTGGAAAGCCTCCTTAGAAAAGCACACCTGAATCTAATTTATCGCAATGGGCAATTGCATGGGGAAGCTTAATTCCTGACCCTCCTAGGCATGGCAGGAAGTCATGGGGCTTACTTCTTTTGTAAGCCAGCGTGCTCTGGGGCACGAGTGAGTGAGAGTGGAGGAGATGGCGAGGCCTGCGGAGGACACGAGCACACGTCCTAGGGGGCGGTCACTCCGGGACCAGCCCCCCACAGACCGCCGCCCCTGGCCGGCCCAACCCGGATCCCTCAGGGCGCCCACACGCCATGGGCAAAGGCAATCAGTTCTTACTCTGTGAAGTTTGTTTTCATGATGCTTTATTTTCCCTAAAGCATAACTTATAAAAGCAACATATGCTCATCTTGCAAACACTGAAACTATCAAAAGTCATAAAGAAGAAATTCTAAATTGGTTATTCAGGGAACCATATTGATTTCTTTCTAGCCTTTTCTTAATAACATAGCTACCTAAAAAATAACCGAGAACGTACTGAATTGTGGTTTTGTTACTTACTTAATTTCAATATATCTTAATAATTTCCCCATGCCATTAGGAGTTCTTTTACATCATCATCATTAGTTACACAGTGGCCCATTCTATGGCTATGCCACAATTAATTCCATCTCTGGGCCCTGTTTGGACACTTGGTATTTTTCCATTTCTTTACATAGAAAAAATGTCGGGACGCATGCCTTACAGACAGACTGCTATTCACAGCCCCAGTCAGGGTACTCTCTGAGGGTAAGTTTCTAGATGTGCGATTGCTAAGCCAGACTTCAGGCATTTTGCACATTTTAAGGATTTGGACTTGCACCACCCGCCTACACTCAGGAGGTTACACTGGTTTATCTTCCACGGGCGGCATCGGAGGGAGCCTGTGTCCAGGACTTGTATCAACACTGGGAATGGCATTGAACACAAAACAAAATGAACAGTACAGACTGGCTATGAGACAGTCTTGCCCTCCTGCTATAGATGAGACATGGAGACTCACTAAGGAAATAGCTCGGGAGCAGGATCTGGACTCAGGTCACTCGCTGGCTTCCCTCATTTGGCCCAGAGCTCCCCCAGTGGGGGGCACTGGTGCAACAGGGCTCACTGACTCCCTTATTTCTCGGGTCTGCTGTGAGCTAGGACCCCCAGCCAGCTTCCTTTAGCGGGGAACAGACTCCTATTGGGTTTGAAAGTTCCTGCAGCTCTAGCTGGTTTGGCTCAGTGGATAGAGCGTCAGCCTACAGATTGAAGGGTCCCAGGTTCAATTCTGGTCAAGGGCACATGCTGGGGTTACAGGTTTGATTCCAGAAGGGGATGTGCAAGAGGCAGCCAATCAATGATTCTCTCTCATCATTGATGTTTCTATCTCTCTCATCCTCTTGCTTTTTCTCTAAAATAAAATATATATATATATATATATATATATATATATTAAAAGAAAAGTTCCTTCAGTTTGCCATACTGTACTATAGCCTGACTTTCTATGGTACCTCCTGAGATAGAAATGATTGGAAAGCACTAAAAAGCCCGGATAGAATGTGGGAGGTGGCAGGCAGGAACCAGGCAGCAAGAGTCGTGTGTCAGCAGAGGAGAAGACAGTCTGGGAGACCGATGGACAGAGGGGGGCGGAGGGAGCACAGAGAAGGTCCCAGGAAACAGTGACCTGCAAACAGACCTGGCAGATGGGTGGGTGGGAGAACAAGGGCAGAGGCGGGGTCCAGGCAGGGAACCAGCAGGGCAGGGTCCACCCGCCTGGAGTGCAGCGTGGGGGTGGGGGTAGGGGTGGAGGTGGGGCAGAGAGCAGAGGTCGGGAAGGCCCAGCCAGACATCTAATATCGCTTCTGGGCACAGACAGGGCAGGACCAGCATTTGTAACCAGGGGAAGAGGAGATCAGACCTGGTTTTCTGGACCGCTCCGCCTGCCAGCATGATCAGCAATAGCCGTGCATCCTCCGCCTCACAAGGGAAATCACGTCAGACATTTTGAGGAGAAAGAATCATGGCCACACAGCCACGCAATGTTTATCACATGCTAGCTGAAAGGCACAGAATTCGCCTCGCTAGCTCTTCAATCCACCGTCTGATGTTCCCAAATACGCTGGTGGCGTGGACCAAGGCAGCAGAGAGCAGGCGCCCCTTCCCCTGTGGCTCTTAGACTCACAGGGGTGGCCACGGTCTGCATTTTTAGACTGATTATTTTTGGCTTTACCTTATCTCTCCCAAGTCTTCTTTTCATGCAGTAGATTTTTTAAAATATAATTTTATAATATAATTTTTTGGGAAAATTGATTTCAGAGAGGAAGGGAGAGGGAGAGAGAAACATCAGTGAAAAGAGAGAATCATTCATTGGCTGCTTCCTACAACCCCCCACTGAAGATTAAGCCCTGTGTTCTTCCCCCTGGGAACCCAAATATATGCCCTGACTGGGAACTGAACTGTGACCTCCTGGTTCATAGGTCAACACTCAAGCACTGAGCCACGTCTGCTGGGCTTCTGGACAATTTTGTCCTATTTTACATAGCCTTACAAGTTAACAGAGCTTTGTCTAAAATAAGGTAGAGTACAAGAGCTACATAAACAAAGGGTTTATCTCCATAAATGACAGGGTTTGTACATAATGAAAATACGTCAGTAACAGAAGCAAATTCTTTGTGAAACTGTAAGTAGGAGGACTTGCAGAAATAATGGTTCTGGGATAAGGAGAAATGATATCGAGTGGATTATTTTTTAAAGTCTGATTTACCACGAAATCTTTAAACAAGGTGGTGATTTAAAGTTAAGTTTAACTGTTTTAAAGAAATCTATTCCTGATACAGAGATTAGAGAAGCTCATTTCTTCCCTCAGGCCAACACAACTGACTCACCAGGGCCAGGGACAGAGCAAGGCCCTGATGGCAATTTTGTCACTGACTTATGTGGTATTTTAGCTCAATTATTCTTCCCAATCACACTGCTCAGCCCTGATCAAAGCCTCATTTGCTCCCCCTATTCCTAAATGGGTATGGAAAGTATCCCACACCTGTAGAGAGAGGAAGACAGACAGACAGACACACCCAGAGTTATTTCTCCTTTTATCATTTATTTATCTTTTTAAATTCTCACATGAGGATTTTCCCCCCATTGCTTTTCAGAG